AGCAGCAGATACTTGACCTGGAAGCAAAGAACGTCAGCTTGAACAAGGACATGGTCTTTTTGTTTTTTTTTTGTTTTTTTGTTTGTTTTTTTGTTTTTTATTTATTCTTTTTTTTTGTTTACTTTTTTTTTTTGTTTTTTTTTTTGTTTATAGTTTTTTTTTTTTTATTTTTTTTTGTTTTTTTTTTTTTTTTTTTTTTTTTTTTTTTTTTTTTTTATTGTTTTTTTTTTTTTTTTTTTTTTTTTTTTTTTTTTTTTTTTTTTTTTTTTTTTTTTTTTTTTTTGTTTTTTTTGTTTTGTTTTTTTTTTTTTTTATTTTGTTTTTTTTTTGTTGTTTTTTTCAGGGCCGTGTTTTGCGGTGGCATCAGAATGTCAGAGACTGGGTCTCCAGTGTGGCCTGCCAGGCCATGTCCCAAAGGTCCGTCAATGTGCCACCTTGGCTAGTGTTGCAGGGCCAGCGGCTGGACGATGATCAGACGGAACCTGAATCTGACATGGAAAGGTCACCATGCTAGTCTCTCAAAAAAGGGGCACAATGAAGTTTCGGGGTCACTTAGATGCGAGGCACTGTCAGCGCCGCATCTGGTCTGGGTTTATGCAAGCCAGCAAACGCAGGCCTGCAACACAATGGGCAGAGGAAAAAGCTGCGGCACGAGTTTGCTGCCATATGCCCACACCAACGCTTGGTTTAATCTTGTTCACACAGCCTGTGCCCAGGGGGTCAATTGTGCTGGGTGGGGCCCATCAATCTGGCCTTTACAAGCTGTTCATATTTGAAGACCCACTTGGTGCCACCCTTGCAGCATAGCCCGGGAATGCGCTGAGTATGCTTGTGTCTTATAACATGCCAGTGCTTTCTTAAAGCTCAGCCGATCCGAGCATCATTGCGAGACTAACCACGTTGATGCAAAAGGCCGCTGCCACAGATGATGTTTAGCCTTAAGCCCATCACACATCCCACGTTTAAAAGTCGGTCAACACACACAAGCACAACAAGCCCACACAGCAGCTAGCAGTAGGTTGTGAACTCTGAACGCGTGCGGCTTTTCCGCTCCCACCAGCGTTCCAGTGGCACGAGCCTTTTCAGTGGCACTTGGTTTTATTGTTGTTGGCCACTCTGCCCGGAGAACTGGCCAAATTCCAGCTAGCAAAAATAGTTGCTACTGTCACAAGTGGTCTGAGCAATGTTGTTCTTTGCTTGACAAGCAGGGTCAGGTAGCGGAGTGCGGCTTGAACAATTTTGGCAATGTTGGCCTTGCCTAGTTGGACTGGCCTTGCTGGACTTGCTTTGTGAGTGCTTGGCCATGTTGAACTTGCCTTTTTCTTGCATTTGGTGGTAAGTAAGCACACAGGTCCACAGTCGCCCTTCGCATGTATTCATTCCTGTGTTTGAAACTGGTTTTCGAGCATACTTGGCACTATGTTTTTGAACATTCACAGGTGCAAGTATGGAAAGTGTTTGGACTTCCACCAGGTGAGCTGAGGATTCCGCGGTACAAATCAGATGGGCCCAGTACAACACTACAGTTGTTTCTATTAATTAGCTGAGATCCTTTCCACGAACCTTGGAGTGCTGAATTGTTTTTCCCGCAGGCTGGGGTCAAATGCTGCATTCTCACTAGACACTCACCGCGCCAGCATGGACGAGTTTGCTAGGACTATCATGGTAATGGTGGTCTTCTACACGGGCGCGGTCGTGCTGGTCACGGTGTGTGGCACTTGTTGGTGGGTCAAGCGCGCAGAAGCAAAGGTCTCTCGTGAGCAGGACATGACCGCCTGCGACTTCGGGACACCGGTTGTGTATGTCTTGGATGGACGTGCAAAATACCATCATAGGCGCTGTCACCATGTGAAGAATCAGCACATGAAGGCCATTGCCAAAATGGCATGCGCTAATTGTGCTTGGTTGTGGTCATTTCCTAAGCACGGCTAATTTGTCGGTCTTGGTGCACGGTGATTAGCACCAACTGCAGGGCTGAGTTCTTTTGACTGCCACGGGCTTCCTTCTTCAAATCATTGTGCAGTAATGTGCGCCCAGCCTGTCCGCGCGCCCTTGACGACTTTTTTGCTACTGATGTCCACTGCTGTCACGGAGCCAAAGCCCTTCAACCCTTCAATGCGGTTCACATCTAACAAACATTGGTAAAGAATATTTTTTCATAGTGGCAGGGGCGCAGCGCTCTAAGGTCATGAAAGAAACAGGCGCGGGAACTCATTCCAACTTGCGGGGTTCTGATCCATACATAGGGGTGATAGGCCTCAGTTGGGGAAAAAAGTGCTGCCTGTATTCTGTACAGTAGCTTTACACATGGTTTGGATTCCGGACTGTGATTGGGGCACTGTTCATGAATGAAGGGATTGGGGCAGAGGGCGGTGGCTTGATGTTGCTGCAAAGGTTGGCCTGCACGCAGAAGACTATTATTCCTGGAGGCTGGCCAAGTTGACAATTGCAGTTTTGCACGAAAGCAAGCTGCAGTGCTGGTTTTATCATGGCTTTTCGC